GCAGGGGAAACAGAAAATAAGTAACCAAATCCTCAAGAAGCAGAATTGCAAATTGTTTGGGAGTATAAACTCCAGTGCCCATTTGCCTAAGTTCAAAGCCGTACTCCCTCAGTGTTTAGTTGTATAAACTTGGGCAAGTGATAAAGTCATCCTGTTCCTCAGTGTCCTCATGTACAAAATAGGAATGGTAATAGTATCTATCTCACAGAACTATTTTAGAGATTAAATGACCTACTAATTATAAGGAACTTAGAGAGTTGTCTGGCACATGGTAAGCAGGATATAAATGCTAAGCATTGTTGCTATTATCATTCAGTGTAAAAAATGTTATGACGTGGACATAGTGCGAAATGATATGGGAATTTATAGTATGGAGAACTAACTAGACTTAGGGGATAATCCTGAGAAGGAGAACTGAAACTGAGACCTTAATTGTTGGTACTTGGGTAAATGGTAGAGAGAAGAAAAACCATGTTCCAAAACAGATGGAACCATGTGTACAAAGATCTGAGTGGTGGGGGCAGGGAGGATAAATTGAAGGAAGTGAAAGAAGTTCTACATGGTAGATCATAGAGTAAGAGGGAGCTGGTGGCCAGAGGCTGAAAGATAAGAGCCAGCTCATACAGGACTCCATAGGAATGTAAAAGAATTTGAATTTCAACATTTAAGTGTTGGGAAGACATTGAAAGCAGAGAAAAGCCATGATGAAATCTTCATTTTAGAACATTGTCTCTGGCTGCAGTGTGAAGAATAGAGGCAGGCAGGGAAATGGGGAGATAGTCAAGAGACAATGGCAGCCTGAACTAGGCTTAGGACTAGACTAAGAGGACAGACTGTGAAAAGATATATTTAGGAAGCAGGACCAACTAGTCTCAGTATGAAGAGTACCTCTAGTTCCCATAACATGAATGCTAAAGATGAAAGCAAAGGCTAGTCAGTCCAACCAGGGGGGCTCTTCTCCCCAAATTGAGAAAACTGATAAAATTCAGATATGCTGATTTTCACTAATGAATTTCAAAAGAAATTGATGTATGAACCAAAATACCAGCATATTAATGCATAACTCTAGTTATAACCTAACTGTCAGAGGGTCCTAGAGACCAACATGTTCTGCAAAGACCATCTACTTCATACAGAAAAATTACCTGGGAAGCCACATACACATCAAAAAATGGTGTAGTGAACATGCAATCAGTTACAGGGAGTCAGTTATATGCAGTATATTTTGGATGACACCAGGCTAGCTTTCCTCCCTCCCTACAATGGGGTCAGACAGCCCTGCCCAAGTATATCCTGGACAATACCTGGTGGGACCCTGTCTAGGTTTGTCTCCCTAATTCTTATTTCTCTGAACAGCCTTCACATGTCATTCAACTTATGCCTTATGGAGTATTAGAAGGATAGTAAGAAGAGCAGTGTGGCTCTCGTACAGTGAAATAGAAAGGGACTGGTAGGAAGTGGGATGAGGGTGCAGATGATGAGGGGCTTTATAGGCCTAGGTGAGGAGTTAGAATTTCAATTGCAGTGGGAAGCTATTGGAGGATTTGGAACTGAGGATAGGCAACCTTCAATACATAGAATAAAAAGATCACTGAATACTGTGTGAAGAAAAGCCTAGAGGGGGATAAGTGAAAATGAGAGACCAGTTAGGAGACTATGGCACCGGTAGTGATTCTGGTGGTGGGGAGCAACCTCGTGGTATACGTCAATAGCAGTAGAGATTTTGAGAAGCCAGAAAATAAGGACAAAACAAACAAACATATACAACTTTCAAATTTCTGTTAACATTTTGAATTTCTTCTAGTACCTGCATAATTGATATAAAGTTTGATTTTTTTATTTGAGCATTTGATTTTCATAAGAAAGAAAACTGCTCAAAGGAAACCAGTTTGAATTATGTACATGTGCATAGTAGGATAATGTGTACAAGCAAGTCCTGTGCAATTGAATCTATATATTACTACATGCCTTTTCCGAAAACATTCTAGTAAAAGTAAGAAACAAGTATTTTAACTAGAATGTTTCATGGGTATTTAGTGTAACTACATTTGTCTATTTTCTGACTTACTAAACACCCCTACTCCTACTTGTTTCATTCATTCAGGTATCAGAAAAGGGTGGCCCTGTACATTGCCGCCTTTTATGGCTACATTGAGCTCACCGAATGGGCCCTGAAGCAGGGTGTGCGGCCCAATGAGGCAGTCGGTGTTCACCCCTATCGAGCATGGTGCCACGAAGCCCTTCATGCAGATATCTCTAAATGTCCCATTCATGCAGCTGCAGAAGCAGGCCAGCTGTTGATTCTGAAGGCCTTTGTCAACTACAGCGTGCTGTGCCTGGAATGCAAAAATGCTGCAGGACAAATTCCCCTGACCATTGCGGTCAAACACAAGCATAAAGACTGCGTATTATATTTACAGAGTAAAATGTGGTCCACAGTTTCTTTTCTGAAAATTTCAGTCCCCATGAGGATCTATGTTAAAATAAAACAATGGATTCTCAGAGCTCAGAGTCACAACCTTTATAAAAGCCAGCTTTGCAGAGCAAGGATCTTTGGGGCAAGAGTTGGAGACATTGTGATGGTGGATGGTTTCACCAAACCAAAAATGACCTCCAAGAACTGGCATCAGGATGGGAACAAGAACTCACAAGGCACTCTTGGAAAGCTACTGCCTCTCAAGGAACATACTGCAAGCAGGAAACCTGTCAATCCTTTGGCAATTTCACAGCAAGACAAAAGAGAACAAATCTTCAAATTTCCTCCGCTGGTAGATGCAAATACATTCTCAGAATTACAAAGACATCAACAACAAAATCGGCAAAAAATTATTGCCACAGCTAAGAAAAAAGAAAAGCTTGTAAAAAACACATATCTTCCCCAAGTCCCCCTCCCTCCAGTTTCAAGAGTGGGCTATTCACACCCATCTTTTTACTATGCAACACCCAGTGCTGACTTTTTACTCAGATCCTCCTTCGCATCTTTCTCTGAGCACAATGGGAAAACTCCAAGGGAAAATGCCATCTACTGCTTAGCTGTGGCCAGGTAATGCTTTCTCTTTAAACATACAAGGGCAAACCTTTAATAGGGCCGGTCTAGGTGCAGGGAATGGTCCATGAAGCCCTGCTATGCCATATAGTGTGACAGAAATTGTTCCAGGGCAGTATCTAGCTTCAAGGACTTCATCTTAGCCTTGTGTATAAGACAAAACAAACTAATTTTATTGGCCAGTTCAATCTGTACAGTACTTTAGTCCTCAAGCTTCAGGAAGAAAAGAGATACCATAAAAAGAATTGTATCAATTAGCAAGGTCCCTTGCCCCCCCACCCCCCTTTTTTTTTTAACTAATAAGAAATTGTTGCTTATAATTAAAAGAAGAGAGAAACTTGAAATGTGGAAGGGATACATCAAAAGTATTATGGAAGACTGGATGGTAATGAAAGTGGAAGGAAAGAAAGAAACAATTTGTTGACAAACTGAACCATAAAGACGTTAGTTGACTTACTGGGCAAGATTGGGGGTGGGATCTATATTGGATAGGGTGGTAGAACTCACATTAATATTTAAGGCAAGTTTAAAAAGTAATGCATTATTACACTTAAAGACATAAACAAATGTTTACAAAGTGGACTTTTCAGGCACATACATTTCATAAGATAAAATTTTATATATTGGTCATCAGATTTCATCGAAAACACAACTCCGATTAGTTATAAGGGGCCATCCATTACCCATGAGGTATTACTTGGCGCCAATATTATTTCCAGTAGAAATATATATTTCCCCTTACTCAATTTATGAGAAGAAAAGAAAAAACAAGACTAAATTACTTTAGTTGCCTTTTGGTATTGGTCTTCAGTTCAGTTCTATTTTATTTCAGCTAGGTTGTTGCCACCTAGTGGTGAGAGTAATTCGGGTTATAACACTGGCATAATTCGCGATAACGAGGTTGACAGCAAATGAAGAAACTACTTAATAGCTTCAATCTTTGTAATTTGTGAGGTATCTCAAATAGAATGTAGAAAAAGAGATAATCTAAAATTCTAGAAAAAGATGAGAAAATTATTAATTGAAAAAATTATATAGCCCATCTTAAAATCAGGCTGTAAACATAAGAAAGGAAATACTGATTAGTTTTATCAACAGATGCACGTTTAAAATAAGCTTATTTTTCAAGCATCCAGTAATTACTTATTATGGCCCAGTTTGTTGCTAGGCAGAATAGAAATATGCAAAAGTATCTGTTTAAGGCGGGCATGTGCATGATTTGGGGTGAAGAAGGCTGCCAGTATCTAGTGTGTGTAGTGCTTTCTTGGGGAGAAATTGAGTTGTGAAATATATAGTAACACACATAAGGAGCACCAATTTCACTTGTATGGCTCATTTTGCATGCATCCATGTAACCACCACCCAAGTCAGATGCAAAGTATTTCTAGCACCCCAAAAAGTTCCCTCATGCCTCTTGTCAGTCAATAATCCCTCCCAGATATAACCATTATTCTAATTTCTACCAATGAGATTAGTTTTTCCTGTTCTTGAATTTCATATAAAGGGCATATATAGTATGTACTTTTTATGTCTGCCTTGTTCAATTAGCATGTTGTCTATGAGAGTCATCCATGTTTTTACATGTATTGATTTTTTTTATTTCTATATAGTATTCCTATTCTGCGTAGTATTACATATCTTTATTTATTTATCCATTCTGCTATTGATGGGCATTTGGGTTGTTTCTAATTTGGGGTAATTTGGAATAAAACTGTATAACTATTCTTAAATATTCTTGTATAACTATTCTTGAATTTGCATTCATTTCACTTGACTCTATACTTAAGAATAGAATTGCTAGGTCGTAGGGTAAATTTAAGTTTAGTTTGAGTAAACACCTACAAACAGTTTTCCAAAGAGGTACAAGCATGCTGTTTTTGTAGGTACATTTTACAAAGATTGGAGTTATCAGGGGGAAGCAATTTCAAGGTTGTTAAAGGAACTGCTGGGGAAAACGTGTTAAAAAAAAGTTAGTGCAGAAAGGAGTTTGTAGAAGGAACGATGGTCAGTCTGATTTTGCACTTCCTCTGGCAAAGTGACTCCTTGCTAATCTTTCCAACCTTACCATTTGACTTTTCCCAATAGTTTTCTCTTTTCTTTATTTGCACTCTTTACTTCCTTCCTATCTGTTTTCTCTCCTTTTCATTTTAACCTTCCCAGGATGTCTCACATCCCTCTGTTGGTGGACTTTGGAGGGGGAAGTGAAACCTGCAGTATTCATGTCCCTTCACAGCTCTTTTTGGTCTGGTTCATGCCCCCTCATAGGAGTCATGAAAGCACCAATGTCTACCTGAAGCTGTCAGTCAAGCCAGGCAGTCAGGTGGTCTGAGTATTTACTACTAAAAGACCAGTATAGCTCTTATGCCAAAAAGATACAACATGAAGAGTGACTATGCACTGTCTCGATGGCTGGATCCACCAACAAGCTAATATCATAGCCAGGAGATGGAGACAAAGCCAACGTAATCTTTCATGATGGTAACCCAGGGAAATTGGATCAGGGTTAGTAAAGTAGCCATTAGATGTTCCTAATTATGTGGGGAGAGGAGTCCCCCAAACCAGGACTGCAGATACCTGGCATCATGTGAAAGCACTTGCTGGACCATATATCATTCAGGAACTCCACTTTTAGACTCATGAAAATATACTTCTTAGGACTGATGCCAAGAGAGTATTACTGCGGTTAGCTCAGATCAGGTGCTAATGTGGGTCTGGGTTGACGAGTGCATGTAGCTGGTGTCAAGATGACAGTGACTGAGGCCACACTGAGCCTCATTTCTCAGAAGATAGTGTAAGCTATCAAATATCTCCAAGTCAAATATCTCCAAGTTGTATCTAGAAAACAGTCTTCCTTACCATTTACTGTCTAATTCCAGTGAGGTTTATGTGACCTGGAAGTCCAGTGAAGATTCAAATGTGGAGGACTGGTCCAAAAGGTTGAGTTGAGACTATGAGTGGGCAGAGAATGGATGGTAATCTCCACTGGTGATTCTGATGGGCTCTTGTGCTCCTGATAAAAGTAGAGCTCTTTGTTTTTTTAAATAAAAATGACCAGAGATGGGGCAGGGCACATTTGTCATAAGTTTGAACCACTGTGGTTGATGAAGGTGTTTGTCTTAGGCTTGGAAAGTGAAAATAGAGCATAAACCTGCTTAGCCTGGCCATGCCACTGAGACCCACTCTTCATGGAGGAGTAACTCCCGCTCCCCAAACTTCTCTCGATATGTGACCTATTTCTTGGGGATTCTAGAAGCAAAGGTGAGTGGGAGGGGGAGGAAAACAAAGGAGGAGATGGAGCAGCAGCCTGTGCGGCTTAAAGGCAATGCCGGTGCAGATGGGAAAGCTGGGCGATGGAATAATTTCCCTTAAAAAAAAAAAGAGAAATTTAATTACAAAATACAATAATACTACTTTTTGGGAAACATCCAAACAATATGGGATTATATAAAGTAAACATGAATATCTCCATCCATCTTCCAGTCCCATTCCTCTCCCCTCTCATGCATCCCATGCCACTCCCCGGAAGACACCATTATTACTATTAGTTTGTAGCCTCCTAGAACTTGTCTATGTATCTCAACATATATATGTGAGACATGTATGGCATTCACTTTTCATCATAAAAGGGATTTTACTGTATTTATTGTCCCCAAATATACATCACTTAAATATATCTGTCAAATCTTTCCATACTGGAAGAATGAACTACCTTATGTTTTTTAATGGCTGCCTAGTATTCCACTGTCGATATTTTTAAAATAAGTTATTTAATGAGCCCCACTTGATTTTCATTCAAGTTGTTTCCAGTTTATCACCATGATGACGGTGGTGCAATAGATCTTTTCATATATAATACTAATTCATTTGTAGAAGTATTCCTATAGGATACCTTGACTGAAGTAAAATTGTTTGTTTAAAGGACATATACATACTGCTAAGTCACCTTCCTAGAAGACTGTACCAACTTATACCCATTCATAGAGTATGAGAGGCTACTTTTCAGTTAATTACATATCTACAGCTGGAAGGGGCCAGGCTCAGAGGGAGCCAGTGTGGGAGTGAAGGAGAGAATCTGACAAAGACTCTCAGGGTGAATTTGTGTGGTACTGTGTTATGAGTCAACCTTCCCTGAGAAGAGACTGTCAGTAGTACCCCCAATTCCAACCAGGAATAAGCTTGATGAAATTCAGTTGCTGGCCCTTGTGGAACACCTCCCAAGTATAGCTTGTAATGGGTGTGGAAGAGATATTTCCTCTCTTAGATTCCTCTCAGGGGTGTAAGCTACCCCTCCCCCAACTTCCCCCTTTATTAGGTGCTAGGGCACAAAGGTAGCAGGGGCTAATTCTGCTGCTCTCCCTTTACTGTCAGTCCTGGCCATTTTGTATAGGTGAGCATGTGGGCTCTAGAAAAACACAGACATTGAGCAGAGCTCAATGCAGAGTTCTTCTGCATTCCTGAGCACTAGATTTAGGAGACTAGTTGCATCACATCTCCTCCTCAGTTCTGCTTTAGGTGAGAGCAGCAAAGGGAGACATCAGCTGGGCCTTCAACCTCATACACAGGTCAGAAAGTTGACTGAAACCTGAGAGTTTAGCCTCCTAGACTAGCTTGTCAAACAGTGCATGCTGAGGCCTTGTTCTCCAGTTGAGCAACCCTGAATTCCATGACCCATCCAGGTGACCAAGAACCTTGTTTCTTTTGTTCACTTTTGTATCTCCAGCATAGTGCCTGGCATATAGTAAGTGGTCAATAAATGGATGTTAAATGAATGCATAGAAGCCAGGGAGAGGTGAATATAGATAGTTACACTGTCTTTCCTCCCTAAACTGGGAACTTCTATGCTGAAAAGAAACACTGAGATTCAGTTAGATAGTTGGGCTGATGGCCCAATTAGTGGTTATAATGGTTATTCATTCAACAAACATTGAGTTGGAGATACAACCGTCAGGTGACTTTCTTAGTTTTAGCATCGAAAGTCCTGTTTCTTGGGAAATCTC